CTCACCCAACCTCACCCGTAGCAACTGTTGCGACCTCATCAGATCTGGGCGAATCTACACAAGCTTCTTCTCTTTCGGAATCTACAGATGAAACCGTTCTCGCCGACAAGGAACAGAGCCTCGAAGGCGCGCCAACATTGCCCGAACAGCCTGCAACTATGAGTGCAGCTGCACCTACTGAAGATCGGACTGATGCGCCTCCCGCGCAGTCAGTTGAGCATGTCGAAAAGGAGGAGGAGCTAGCGGCGGAAACTAAGGCAGACTCACAAGCCGACAACAGCCAAGAAGAAACGACCGGAGCGCCTGAAACTGTGGTTGAGAGTGCTGCGGCAGGGGAGGAAGGAGGTGCAGCTTTGGCACCGGCTTTACCGATATCCAAGTCCTCGGGAGCAAACGATGCACCACGAAATGCAGAGGGAGTTGCAGACGATCAAGCACCAATTTCCCCAGAAGCGAAAGCAGGAACCACCCCGGAAGTCGACGACTCTGCTGCAGCTACAAATGCTGAAGACCACGGATCACCATCGTCTGAACTTCCAATACCGATTTCCAAGTTTTCGGCGCGGGACAGCAACCATTCGACCCATGAGCCTAACCAGGAAGTTCCAGCAATCATCACGCCAGGCCAGGGTGACGTGCCTGAGGTGAACGTGTCTTCCCAGGAAGGGCAATCTGAGGCTCCAGAGAGGCGGGAACCATTGGCTGTCGAGACTCCCCGAGCAAGGCCAAAGTCTGCATTTGAGCCTCTTCGACCAGGTTACGATGGAGTAGACAAGGACAAGCGGTTATCGATGGTCAGCCTTTCGGATGACGACAGGCTTATGGATGAGTTGCAGTCGGCAGCCGTACAAGAAGCCAAGCCGATCACCGTGTCAAAGTCACCTGGCTCATTATCCCCTGGTGACGTGTCATACAAGAGGAATTCGATGATCGAGACTGGTTCATCCGCACTGCGATTCTCGAGGACTGTATCCAGTCCGGTTAGGAACACGTTGCTTGCGCCTGCGAATGTTCAAGCTAGCACATCTAGATCTCTCTCGACCAGTGCTTCGTTCCTCCAGAAAACGGGACAACAAGACATAAGGCCAGTAAACAGCGGCAAGATTGGCTCGAGCATTTCGCAGCGAATCAAGGCACTCCAGACTTTGTCCGGTTCCCCTGCTGGGCCGCCGGACCCCGCTCCGAAAGAGCGACCTGCTACTACTTTCTTCGCAGTTCGGAAACCCAGTGTGCGCGAGACACCGTCGAGATCACCATCCGTCGCCGATAGAGCATCATCAATCACGGGAGCCAGGACGTCAGCAAATCCGGAGTCGCAGATTGGTAGGTCCGGATCCGTACAAAATCGACTTTCCATGTTTGAGGGGGGAGCCGTACCAAGGGGCAGGCCTGATCCGGTTCAAGTGACCGCCCGCTTAGTCCGAACAGATCCATACAAACAGCCTTACCCAAAAGCCCCAGACTCGAAGAAGGCTGACCCAGCGGATTTTGTGCGCTTAGAACTGAAGCAGTCCCCGTTAGATATGCAGTCCGGTGATCGTCCCGCCCCGTCGGAAACCGCGCCAGAGTACCAGTCTCAGTCCGAGGAACAGCGTGCTTTCTCGAGGAAGGGGGAGCCAGAGAGTGTAACGGCGGAGGACGATGCCAGCTCCACGAAACGCTCTGGCATGGCGGTCGTTAAGGAGTTCATGAAGGACCGGCTAGGCAAGGGCCCATCATCGGATGAGTTACCTGCCGGTCTTGCTTCACCCCGATCGCCGTCCCGCCAGTCGACGGTCCAACCCGCCTTGTCGTCTCGCCGTGACAGTGTTGGCAGCAAAGCGTCGTCAATCGAGCACGGCTCCCCTTATCATGCAGAAGATGAGCGACGACTTGGATCTAGCCACTCGAACGCTGATTCGACTCTCAGCCCGTCCAGCGGCAAGAAAGATGGAAGTCGTGCGTCGCGCTTTATGCGCCGCCTGTCTAACATCGTCCCTAACCGCAAGAACGGTGCGCCGCACATCTCGCCTACGCTTGTCGAGGAGGATGTCGCCGAAGTTCAGCCCGCGAGGGAGAACCCGATGTCACCGCCCGAAGTACGGACGGTCATTCCCCAGCAGCACAGAACGCCTCCTCAGCCTTCCCGCCAGGCTCAACTGCCAGCACCTCAACCGCAGGTGCAGCAACCACCCCAGCCAGCTTCGCAGCCTCAGCCGCCGACCATCGTCTCGTTCATGGGCGACGTGAACGTCCAGTTCCCCGACACTCTGCTCTGGAAGCGTCGGACCGTGTGCCTCGACAGCCACGGCTTTTTGATCCTGAGCCCTGCGCAGAACGTCTCGGCCTCGCTCCAGGCCCAGGCTGTCAAGCGATTCCACATGAGCGAGTTCAAGATGCCCTATGAGCCGGAGATGGAGATGCAAGAGCTTCCTAACAGCGTGGTTCTTGACTTCAAGGAGGGCAGCGGGTTGCAGATTGCTTGTGGAGATAGGACGGGTCAGCTCACTGTTTTGAAGGGTAAGTCTTTCTCCTCTTATGAAGCTGTTGGGTGTATGTGAGGAAATAACTGACGAAAAATGAAACACAGCACTCCAAGATGCTCACAGGAGTCATATCAGCTTTGGACAATGAGACTGTTTTGTCGACCACCAAAACGAATAAAAATAGAAAGAGCGAGAAACCCAAAAAAGCGTTGAAACTTTAACTACCCCTCTACTTAGTCCGACGACTAACCCCCTTTGTTCCTTTTAACTTCTTCACACACAACACACAGACACCCTCTATACGTTGTTGGACAACATGGATACACGGACAAAATGGGTAGGTAGAGAAAGATGGGTTCAGGAAATCCATTAACAACCCAAACCAGCCCGCCGGTCACTGTCCCATCACATTTGCACATAACATCACCCAAACAAAAGAACTCGAACAAACTACTATATCACATTCGCTTTTTACATGTACCCTTCTTTCCTTGCCTGTATCTTTTTCTTGTGGATCTTTAATTCCATCTGCCTATATCTATCTGTCTGTCTGTATACATGGTCAAGATTCACCCCAGGTTTTTCTCATAGGTCTAGACTAATACATAAAATGTTTACCTACCTGACGTCTGTGATCTTTGCTTCCTGTCACAGAAGCACACGCCCTGTGACATGGCTATAGAGTGTGCGCACGCTAGTCCTTTCATTGCTTTGAACTGCCCCAAGTATATTTGGGTGTGCATGGGTGTGTGGTTTCTAACCAGGCGGGAAGGGTACATAACTTTATTGTCCAAGATGATCAAGCTTATTTTGTTCATAGCGAGAATGAAGTAAAAGCAAACAGGTTAGGCTAGGTACCACAGTGTTAGTGTGAAGGAAGGATGGAAGTGTCCTTCGAACCTAAATATACTACCAAATATCAAGCTTAAGCCGATGGATACCTACCTACTACCCTCCTGGTAGTCATAAAGGGTGTTAGTTATTAGGGACATGTTGCATCCATACATACAAGTTGGCAGTTACTTCATTCAGTAATCTGTTTCCTGGCGGTGGTTTAGTTTAGTTAGTAGCCAGCTCTCTCTCTCTCTCTCGGTTGAGAGAGGAGGGGATTCATTCATTCATTCATAGGAGTGTTTGCCAGGCAGTAGGGTTGTTATGCGGATGGGATACCTATGGAGGTGAGTGAGTTTGATGGTAGACTAGACTGACTATAATTGATCGTGCATGCGTGGCGTGCTCTGATCGCAAAGAAGAATGTTTCGTCGATAGTCAAGTCAGACTTGATTCAAGAAGTTCAAGAAGTATGTATGAAAATGAGTTCGTTCAGAAAGAAGAGACAAAAAAATGAGTGAGTCCCCAGCAATGCATGTGTTCGAACGCACCACCTCTCTCTCTCCTCTCCAGACAAGATAACAAGAGCTAGGTAGACCGGCTACTAGGTACCTGTGAAGACCCCTCTCTCTACGTGTCTCTTAGCACACCGTTCCCGTTCCCGATCCGGACAGGTAATATAAATCTTTTTTTTTTTTTTTTTTTTTTTTTTTTTTTTTTTTTTTGGAGTTTTGAGTTTTGAGTTTTGAGGACTCAAACTGTAGGTAGACCAACCACTATGCCATCTAACCAAGCGGTTGTTATTGTTGGAAAGAGGGGGGGGACCAACCAGGTCCCTTATATGCCCTTGGTCATTAGGGGTCGGGTTTGATTTCGGATGAAGAAGTGGTAGGGACGGGAGGGGAGGTACGGCAGATGCCGCGGCTGGCAACCGGCCTCCCTCCCCTCCGATGGTACTCGGGGCTCGAGTGGACGACGTGCTGCTTCCGAGTTTAGAAGATGTGTCGAGTGTGTTCAGTAAAAGTGTGTTTTTTCGCAATCGTTCTCGAACTTGTTTACTCGAAACGACTAAGAAGAGTCAATTTCGAGGGCCTGACGAGCATGGGAGGATGTTGACTGCATATTTAGTTGTATCACAGGAAGGGAATGCAGTCAGTAATGTCCATTACAAGGAATGTCTAGGATGGTGGCTGTAGCGGTTCTTTTACCCGCCCAGTTCACATGAGCTTTCCGCAGGTAACCCAAGTTATAGATACAATGGCACGCCAGTGAAGAGAAACCCAATACTAAGTATAACGATACGAGTTGAGATATGCTTCTGTTCATCATCATCATTCTTCTTCTTTTTGTACAATAAGCGGATATGGGTTTGTTCATCATAAACACGCCATTGGGAAAACCATTGCCCCCCTTTTCCTTTTTGAGTATCCATATTCCCGTGGCACGCTTAAAGAATACCATTACAATGACGATGCAAAGTGGCGGACAACCCAAAATACCCAAGTCCGGGTCCAGATAATATACAGTGTGTGGTGATTTTTTGAGCCGGGAGAAGTGAGTGGAATTTCGGGAGATGGGAAATGCCAAACGTGAGGGATGGCGAGACGATCATCGTAATCTGGTCAACGATGCTGGCCTTCTTCTATTCTTCGCCCAGGAACGGGATTCCGTAGGTGTCGTTTCGTTGGCCGGTCTTGTCTGATCAGACTGCGTTAAGTTGTAAAACCGGTTGTTGATTTGGTGTATCCGATCAAGGCCCTCCGCCGGAAAGAACTCGGACGGAGCTCTTTTTCCCAAACGGTCCCCATCTTGAAAACGCTGGTTTCCAACCCGCCGCCCTTTGACCAGCCATCTCTCTCTCCCCTCCACATCTCCCGGCTCACAATAACCATCCATCCCTCGCTCATCTTCTTTTTCATTTCCACAATAAGACTCGCTGCCTCCCTCCTTAGAGCGCAGGCCTAGCCCCCTCACCACCAATGGCAGCCAACGTCTTCTCAGCGGTACCCGCCTGTCCCTCACCACCAGCAGTAAGGACATCAGAACCGAGCTCGCGCATGCGCGCCTCCTGCTCCATAGCGGCGTAGTTCTGGTCCTCGGCGAAAGCGATGGCGAAGGGGACGCCGATCAGCAGACCGGACACGGAAACGGCCCAGGCGGCGCGGCCGGCGAAAGACAGCGTCGACTTGACAAAGTTGGTGGTGGCGTCGTACTTGTGGTAGAACCAGCCGCGCGTGGTGGGGCTGACCATGTCGCGCAGCGCGTACAGGCGGTCGGCGAAGGTCTCTTGGGGCTCGTAGTCGGAGTCGACGGAGATCTCGGAGTCTGTTTATAGGTAGAGGCGTAGGGTTAGTGGGTTTGACCTTGTCTTTCCGACTATCTGTCTAGATTCAAGAGGAGAACAGGGCCATGGTGATGATGTGTTGTATCGAGAGGACTCCGGGCTAGAGAGGTTCAAGCTGGATTGGAGAGTGGGTGGTATGGCGCTTGGGTTGTTGGGCTGGCAGGACTCGAAGTATCTTGTTGCATGTTGAAGGTAGGCGTGTATATAGGTGTAGGTATGTTGGCATTGACTAACAACTGGCGTCTGGGAAGTTGGCGTTTCGGCGTTGGCGTCGTGGTGGCAAAGAGGATGAGCGGCTTCGCGATGCCATCGGTAGTGGGTGATGGCGACAGTGACGTAGTCGTACAAGTCCTTACAACCCCTCCAGCCCGAGACTCCTCTCTTTGTTTGTCCTCGACAGTAGAGGAATGCTTCACTCACCAGTGTCCGTGAAATCCTCGTCGTCCTCCTCAGGGCCGACCTGCGGCTGCTGGAAGTGCTCGTCCTCGACCTCGGTAAGCTGGACCATTTTGAATTATGTGTGGATAGAAGGACTGTCGTTGGTCGTGGTGGTGGTGGTTGGTGGTGACTTGGACCCGACAGGTATCTGATGGAATCGAGGCAATGTTATCGGGTTTGTGGATGTTTGTTGCAATTGGGAAATCGGAGAAATCGGATAAGTGGATACAGGCACAGCGCGTGGGCAAAGGCAACTCTGCTGGACACTGCAGTGAGCTGGAGTCTCAAAAAGTTGGACCTTGAATCGCTCGAGGTTCGCAAGCACCGACCATGACGAGTTTTCTTATCGGACGCTAGGCCATATCAGGCATGACGCAGTTTCACGGGACCGAGGATTAAGCGGTTAGGTACATGTACTTCCCCAGATTCTCCAACTCCCCCATTTTCCACCACTACAGTGATGGCGGATGCAATGTCATGCCATCCACATGTTGATGGGATGGATCTCAGGTTCAGTTTGGTCCTCACATAGCCACGCACGAATTCATACAAGTCCGTCAATACTGCCAATGCCATCTTGATATTGCCGCCGCTGCATGTACAATCATCGCTCAAAATATCTATATAGAAAAATGAACATCGAAAACAAACAACCCTCCCTCCATCTCATTACACTACTCTTCAGGTTTTTATTGTCCATAGACCCGTACATATATGCACCTCATTCATGCCCAATCCTCGTAACAAACATTATTCACTAAGTCAGTCAATCAGTTTAACTCATGTCTCCCGCCTGGTCGGCTCCGCGAACCGGATCCCTCTCCTCGGCGGCGGAATCCTGGGGGTATCATCATCCTCGCTATCCTCGTCCTCCGCTGCGCCCGAAGACATGCCCAGAGCAGCCTCTCTGCGTCGTCTTTCCGCTGGCGTCTCGCCGTGTTCTCCTTCCCCGTCATCTCCAACGCTCTGGAGCACCGCTAACCTACGTCTCCGCTCGGCTGCTGTTTCTGGGACGTCCCTGCTCGGGGCTGCTGACGCTCCCTCTGCCGTGAGGAGCGAAGGCGACCTCGACCTTGACCTCGACGGCGATTCACTGCGTTCGGGATTGCTGCCTCCGCTCATCACTTCCAACTTCTCAGGACGCCCTTGTCTTGTGGAGCGTAAGCTATCCTTGCTGTGGCTGGACTTGACAGATCCAGCAGGAGATCCTCTGCGCTGCGCCGGCTGTGGTTGCTGCGGTTGCTGCTGCTGCGGTTGCTGTGGCTGCTTAGGCGTAAGGTCCGCTTTGGCTAGGTTCTTGACAGCGCTTGATGCGTTGGACTGGTCCACAACCTCCTTGCGCGTACTCTTGTCCAACTTCTGCATCTCCCTGATGAAGTCCTCCTTGTTCATGCGTTGGCCAACACCACCAATAGTGAAGCGAATATGACGATCGTCCTCTTCTTGTTCTTCCACCGCATTCTTCTTTTTCGACGCATCGCCGCCACCAACCACGGCCGAAGCCCACGTAGGACGTTTCGTTGGTTTGGCCGGCCTACTGGCCGAGCCCTCGCCACCAGCTGCACTTCCTGCGACCGCTGATTTGTCTCCTGCCTTGATACCCATGTACTTCAAGCCCTGGGAAACAAAATCGTTTTCTGGTTTCCCGGAAGGCAGTTCATATTTCTTAAGAACCTCGCCATCTTCATTTTCGACAATAATCTGCATCAAAATGTTAGTTGAATAAGCGCATAGGGGGTGCATCAGCGGTGTACTAACCGTTGTACCGAACTGGTACGCTCTGGCCGGTTCACTTCTCCTAGTAGACTTCTCCTTCTCCTTGCGCTTTGCCATTTCTTCCTCACGCCAGTTCTGAATCTTCTTCTTCAAGGCGTCATAGCTCCATCCCGATGGCCCAGCCTCAGCCTCAAGCTTCTCCTTGAGAGCTTCCACTGGATTCTCGCCTTCGCCGGTAGCAGGGGGTTCCACGGCCAGAACATTTCCTTCGCGATCCTCAACAATGACATGGTCGCCTTCGTCATAGTATTCAAGTTCCTGATCCCTCTGTCCAGAGGTGGGGCTCGGTTCATAGGGGGAGGCGGTTTCATCAGATGATCTTTCCTTTTCACTCTTTCTTGCCGAGCGGCACGTAGTCAGGGCATCCGAAGGTGACAACCGCGTAGTGTCAGATGGCTCAGGAGACATCTCATCATGAGGCGAAGCGATTGCTTGTTCGCTTTGGCTTCGGCGCTGGGGGAAGATTGCTGACTGGCTAATAGGGCCTCCGGGTCCGATCCCGTCATCCCATCTCTTTCTCCGACGCCGGCCGTTGGCCGATGATGACCGCTCCCGACGCCCGGTATCCTTATCCTCTTCCTTCTGGCGACGCAAGAAGGTACCTGGAAGACCAGTAGGGGGCAACGTGCCAGGGGGGAATTCAGGCATCTTCATATCATCTTCGGTATCCGACATGTTCCTAGCTTGAGAGCGGGAAACCGAAGTGATGCGGGGCAAGCGGTTCATCCAGGAAGGCCCATCTTCGTTGGCTTGCGTGTATGACATGGTGATGGTAAGGGTGTTGATGTGTTTGCCGAGCGTAAACACGGCGACTGATGAGCCGTGGACGATAATCGAAGACACTACCAAGAAGGTAACAATGGGCCACACCAGTCTAATCAGGTGGAAGTGCGGATTGTTCGGGTTAATGCTGGAGATATCGGCAAGGGGGACAGGATCCTCGTGCTCCAGCTCAGCGCGCGCCAGAATGGCGACAAAGATAGCACCGACACCAATGGGACCGAAATGACCAGCAAACAAAGCCTCGCGCCATGTCTTGATGTCGGGTATCAATGGTTTCAGAGCCATCATGATGGGGATTCGTCTGAAGAGGATGACCATGATGGCGAGAACGACCAAGCGCCAAGCGCCCAGTCCGATCTCGAAGTTGTTGAACTGCTCCCAAGGAATGATGGTGCCGAGGTAGACAAAGTATGCCAAGTTGATGAGCAAATCAATGACGTTAGATACGTGGGATTCTTCCGTCTTGTTTGTGAACCAACCGTCGTTGGAGAAGCCGACGCCGGCAGCGAAGCCGACAAGAAGATCATCTACGCCTAGGATACTACCAGACCCAGCGCAAAAGAGAGCCAGGACAAAGTAGAAGACGAGGAAACTCTCTCGGTCGATCAGCTCATGTCTCTCTGCATACTTGATACCGTGGCGTGCGATATAGCCGACCATGAAGCCATAGATGGCGCCGAAAACGCACTCGTAGAGAATGGTGAAGACGATCCAATGGAATGATACCTCTCGGGCCTCACGGTGGTCTAGAATGAGGTATAGAGAAAGGTAGATGAAGGGGAAAGCCATGCCATCGTTGCAGCCGGATTCCGCAGAGAGCAGATCTCGCAAATGCTTGGGCACTCTCTTTGCGAACTTGCCCTTACCGACAACGGATGAAGCGAGGACGGGATCCGTAGCCGTAACACAGGCAGCAACAACCAGACTTTCGAGCCAGTTCAGGGGTGGAATCAGCCACCAGACAAAAAGACCGGTGATCAGCCAGCCCCAGAGCATGACAGGAATAAGGAGGAATGTGACGGATCTCCAGTGCTTTTCCATGTAGAACTTTGGCAATTCGACTCCGACGGCGAAACACTGGACGACGAGAACGAGGCGAGAGAACTCGATCGTAACGATATCTATGTTACCCCATTCGATGGGGTCTATAAGGCCGGCAGCATGAGGGCCAAAGATGAGGCCGCAGAGAGTGGCCACAGTAGCTTCGCCAATGTACATGCGCTCCTTAATGATGGAAGAACACAGCATGAACAGAGAGGTGAAGCCGCCCAGGATGATGTACACCAGGTGGGGCCTGGTGATGGAAAGCTTGTCCCACGCCATCCTGTCGTGTCTTGTACGGACAAGCCGTAAGAAAACCCGGTTGTCGTCGTGTGCTCCGCAAGCAGTTGGCGCAAAAGTCGAAAGGATATACTGTTGATGAGCAAGACCAGAAGGCGAAAAGTCGAACAAAAGCGACTCACTCTGACCTGATGCCCAGAAACAAGAAGATTTGACCTGTTCCTTCTTCTATTTTGATGTGGGGCGGAGGAGGCTGGTGGCCTGGGGTCCTTTGTAGGAACAGGGTCCAAGATGCCGGAGCTAACGGTACGGGATGGCCCTGCGATAGTTTACCGACTCGCAGACGGGACGTTTCCCTCTTTCTAGGCCGGGGGATCCCCAATGTCCCGGTCAACCGATATTCTTGCCCGTTGCCCGATGATGACCTAGTGGCGCGCGCAGGCGGATCCTGACTCAGCCTCAGCCCTGCTGTTGTGTATCTGAACCGGGTGGGTTCTGGAGAAGATGCGCCTGTGTTTCGTTTCTGAAAGAAAGAACCAAGACGAGCCACGAACGCTGTTCCAACCAACAAATAGCCAATTAGTAACCTGGATAGGAGCCGGAAGCCAATGGAGCTTTGTAGCGTACAGGAGTAAAGCGGCGTGGTGTTAGGAAGCTGTGGCGACGGAGGGATGCTACACGACCGTTGAAGGATATCGGGTATCGGAAAGCGAAGGCGGAAGAGCAGCCGAAGAATTTCGCCGGGCTGTAGTTAGGATTTTGTTTGTGCCTTGCAAGATTGGTGTTTGTCTCTCTCCCTCCGAATTCCCCCCTCTCGCCCCTTTTCGGTCGAATTCGATCTCGAGCGCCAAGCCAAATAGAATAGCAGCGACGACGTGACTTGGTGCGGGAAGGTAGCGCTTTGGTCGTAAACGTAAGTTGCGTTGTCGTCGCAGTCGCTGTCTAGTAGACCTTCAAGACTTGATAACAGTCGCAACTGAACAACGAGACCTCGACAAGCGGAAAATCCTTCTTTCCATTACCAGTCGCGATTCAACTTGAAGGTACTGGAACGTTGTAGTAGTAGGTGATAGTCGTAAACAGTGCCACTAAGAGGTGCCAATGAGTGATGCTTTGAGACGGCGGACGGCAGTGATCAACAATGAACACGGCGCATGGAAGACTTCCGAACCCGAAAAGAAAAAGAAGGAAAGAAGCGATGGATGAAAGGTCAACATTGAAGCAGACCAGGACGGGAAGACGGCAGCGGGGAATGGCACAAGATAAAAGTCATCGAGAACCAGGCAAAGGCCGGCAGAGTTATCATCTGCCAAGAGAGGCAGATTTTGTTTGACTGGCAGGACATGATCCATCACCCATGGCCCGTCATGGAGAAGAAGGCGTCTGCGCCACGGGCATCGGTCTGCGCGCACAGTACCAACGCATGTGGTTTAAACAACTCAACTTGTAAGTGGACGTGCTCAATATCCCGACTGGGATTGTGGGTCTGATACCATCAAGACTAACCTTGGCGGTCGAGAAAAGGCCAATCATATCGTGGGATTGGTGGAGCGTTCCCCAATGGTGGCTAACGGCAGCGCTGCAAAAGCTGGATACAGGTGGGGCATCGTTCACAAAGGCAGAAAGGGACTTCCATGGGGACGGGAACCAACCTCCTGCTCCATTCCATCCATCCCGTCTCACAGCGACCATCATAGCATGCACCCCACTGCACTGAAGAAGTGTAATGATGGGATGGGTCTGCACGGTCTGGTAGAATCCGGTATTCAGTTCTGTATCAAAGCTGCATCCTGCAATGCATATTCCGTCTTTGGTCTTTGGTGCATCAGTAACACGGGGGTCACAAGAGTCTTGTGAGGACTGCCTGGTGGAGCTGTATAGCAAGAACCTGGGTTCGATGTATTCGGTAAAGATGCCCTCCTCAAGCCTGTAGCTTAGGAGGTTTAGCTAAATACTACTCTACTCTATACACACCCTATATAGGTTGCACCTACTCGTACCGTATACCTTCTATATATAGGGAAGGCGGTATAGCGCTCAACAATCTACTACCTCAAAAAATACGCTACGCCCTCGCAAGCAAAAATATAAATAATTATAATAGGCAAATATAGTAAAAATACTATTATTTTCGAAATTAGTACTAATAACTCCGTTAGCTCCTTAAATCGATACTATCGATTTTCTCAATTCCTCAATCAATCAAATCCTTAATAACAATACGTTTCTTCCTATCTTCCCAATCCTATATTAATTTTACGCCTTTCTCGCCTATTTACTTCGCAATCCTCCACTCTAAATATTCCGGTCCCAAACCTTCGTACTCCAGCTTATATCTCCTAACTTTTCCGCCAAACAATATCCTCTCATTAATAATACGTTTAAAATAGTCGGCTATTCGAACTAATCTTATAACCGGAAGTAAATGGCTGTAAACGTCGAAGGGGGCTAATTCTAAATAATCGATACTAATAACATTATAAATTTTCCAAAATTCTAAGAGTTCGAACCTATATATTAAGTGCCCAATCCTCTCAATAATTTCAAACAGGCCAGCGTATTAAGCATCAAATTTTCTATTTAATTTAAAAATTATATAACTTTTATATAATCTAAAATAGACCTTATCTCCAATAAAAAAGAATATCGGCTAGCGATATTTATTATAATAATATTTCGCTATTAGGCCGGCTAAAATAATACTATTATAAATCGAAATTCTATATATCGGAAAGTCTAATAATTTCTTAAGTTTATACTTAACGAATACGTTGGGAATATAATTAGGCGTAAAACCGAATATTACTTCGTTAAGAGATATACTAATTAATAATACTATAGCGTTATTATATTCGAATTAAAGGCGTAGGATTATATTAACCCATTTTATTTAATTATTAAAGTAAATAATATAATAATAGAGTGCTAATTAAATTATTTGGATTATACGCTCTATTTAACCGTTAGTTTAAGGGTAATACGCTATTGAATATAGCAGTTTAGTTCCTAGGCTTCGCTATATCCCGATCGAAAAGTTAAATAAAAATTTTGGATCCCTATTAAATATAATCATTTTGGGGATATCCTAATTTAATAGAAGTAATTTATAAACTAATCGATACCCCTACTATTCTACTATTTAAGTTAATTTTCTTAGGATCAAGATTATTTATTTAGTTAGGCGATCAATAACTATCATTATAGTATTAAATTCTCCTTCTGAGAGACCTAAAATAAAATCGATATTAATAGTATAATAAGAGTACGGCGGATTTATAATAGGATTAAAGTTTCTATATAATTAATAATAGTACTTATTAAAACGAAAGTAACTAGGATAAGCTTTTAAATAGCATTTCAATTCGTAAATGCTTTAAAGTATAAAATAGTACTGGAAATATTTATTTAGGCGGTTAAATCCAATATAATTATTACCGTAAAACGATTTGAATAATATTAGTAAATATAATCTACGCAGAATATAGAATCTATCTTAGGCGGCGCTACCCTATACTTTATACTAAAAGAACCCGTTACGCTACTTAAAGGGGATTAAAACTTAATTTAGCGTAAGGAATTTAGCATTTTATTTTAATAGTTCAGCGATTTTTTTCTAGTATAGATCTTGTTTATAACTTTCTTAAATTTGTTTGTAGAATTTCGGTTCTATTTAAATTAATATAATTCTTAGCTCTATTCCCAGGCTAACGTTAATATTTATTTCTATTCTAAGGGGTAATAATAAGATTAGTTAAACCTATTAATAAAAAATCTAATAAACCGCTTATCTTTCATTAAAATTATTAGGTAGAGAATTAAATCCACCCTCTATCGTTGGGTCCGGGTATTTAGGGTCGTCGACGCGGAAAAATTTAAATAAAGTATTAAGGATTATATACTATTTACCTAACTTATAGAAGATATAAATTAAATTTTAGAATTAGCTTATATATTCTATAGCTCGTATAAACTTTTTATTTAAAGCGCTTACTACCATTAAATATATAATATCAGCCTATTTAAAGAGTCTAATAATTATTTGATAGTCGGTATAAATAATTATAAGGGGAATAATTATTATATCAATCTATTTCCTATATTTTTATAAAATCCAAATAAAGCCTAACACTTCCATTTTAGTTAGCCAATATCTATACTCGGCCTATATCAAGGTTCGGGACAGGAAGGTAATAGTCTAACACGCTAATCGGGGAGGAAATATAGTCATTCTTCTATTTGGAACCCAATAGCTTTAATATAGTCTCATCTTCAATATAATAAACTTCGACTCTAATTCTATAACCGGGCATATTAAAATCAATAAATAAGCGTTTATTATTAATGTAAAGTTAGAACTTAACGTTATTAGCGATAGCTCGCTTTATAATTTCGAATAAAGCGATTTAACTATCTATTAAATAGTCGATAAAGACTATTAGAACCTAAGTATATCGTTTACCTTTCTTCGGGCGGCCATCGGCAATAGTCTTAAACTTATTAATTAATTCAGTTTTTTATTACTCTAAAGGTTAAATTAAGATTCTAAATAAAAGTACATTTTCGTACAGCTAAAATACCAATCCGACAAAATAATCGAATTAAACTAAATTCGTCGGGAATTGCAACTTTAAAATCGTTTCCAACTTCTCTTCGGTCGTCAATATTAAAAAACCGTCGACAAAGCAACCCAAAACGATAGCGCTAGGAAAAGCTATAAATAGTTTAAATAGGCTAATAAATACATTATAATAGTAAAACGTATTTAGTATAATTATAAAGTCCTTAATATAATTTTCTAATATTGTTAATAATATAATAATATCGTTATAATATAATTCTATAATAGGGATATAATTTAATATAAAATCTATTTAATATTAAATGTAAATATTTAAATGCTTATATCCTATTATTATATAATTGAAAATAAATTAACCTTCCGATATAGTTACTGTTAAAGCCTATCGAAATTTAAGGTAAACGCGCTATTAGTAATAGAATGCAATAGTATCCAAAATAATAATAAATTTTACTTTTCTAATAATAATATTTCTAAATATTTCGTCTTAAATTTCTATAAGGTAAGCGTTTAGTACGGCCATCCTATTAAAACCCCGAATATTAACGATTATATAGCTT